GGGGAGCGCGGGGGTGACGCGTAGAAAGAAGAGGGGCTTCGGGGGAAAGCGCGGCGGGCCTTCCAAGGGAAGAGTGTTTGCGTTTGGCGCCCCGTGTGGTTCGGAGGAATGAGCGGGGAAGGCGCTCCTGGATGCTCGCCGGCTCGGGGACCTCCTGGCTGGAGGCTGGGGCCCATCCGTAGACACTGAAATAGCTGGTTTTTGTAGGATTTCAGCAGTTGAATGTCTGCAATCCGCACGGTGCACCCTAACGCACCTGAGGTCGCCGCCCTGAGTCAGAATAGAGGGCAACTAACAGCAACCACCTAAGGTGTATATGGGCAGTAGCCAGCAAGTACCTGAGACTAGCAAATGCTCCATAAATCTCACGGTTTGGGTTATTATGGTTATTAACTCCCCCCTCTCAAGCATCGCCAGTCCTTCTCTCATTCTTACCAGAATTGGCTGTCTCGGAGTGCCCACCTGCTCTTCTTTTCCATCCAAGCTAATGACTTATCATAGGCCTGCTCTCATTCCTCCTTTCTCTTCTGGCTGAACACCCCCCACGCTGGGCAGGCGTGGACCCCGAGTGCTGAAGTACAGGTCATGTGTATCCCTCCCGTGCCAGCCTCAGACTTTTGGCAATGCAGTTTGTTTGGTTTCACATTTGCACACCCTCAGCCTCTTTCCCACTCCTTTTCCTTAGGATGCCTCTCCACTCCCATCTCACCTTGTCACGCAGCCACGGCACTGTATTCGTTTGTTAACACCTACTGCTTATAGGAGAAGACCTGGTGGCATAGTGGTTACACAGGCGGCTACTGGCAACAGTTCCAAACTGTCAGCTGCTCTGCAGAAGTAAGACGAGGCTTTCTACCCCGATAAAGTTACAGTCTCAGAAACCAACAGGGGCAGTTCTACCCTGTAGGCTCACTATGAATCAAAATCTACTTGATGGCAGTGAGTTTAGGTTTTGATCGCCTCTAGAGGAGCCCTGGTGTGTAGTGGTTGGGCTGCAATTTGCAAGGTCACTTTGTAACCACTCCTTGGGATACAGACAGGCTTTCTAAGTCCATAAAGAGTTACACTTTCATGGGGGAAAAAGGAGGAGCTGATGCCAGGGGCTTGGGTGGAGCGCAAATGTTTTGAGAATGATGAGGGCAACGAATGTACAGATGTGCTTGACACAATTGATGCATGTATGGATTGTGATGAGTTGTATGAGCCCCCAATAAAATGATTTTTTTAAAAGTCACACTCTCAGAAACTCAAGGGGAAGTTCTACCCTGTCCTATAGAGTTGCTGGGGGTTGACATCAACTAGACAGCAGTGAATTTTTGTTTTGGGTTTTTTATAGTAACTGAAAAGGTCTGATATAATCATCCATAGCCTTCAGTCACAGTGCAGGCATTGAGAAGTAGTTGGGGTAGGTGTTCGCCCAGCTGCCCAAAACACCAGCTACGGCTGTTACGCCTGCGAACCAGGAATGCCTGGGGGTGCATTTGAGCACTTCAACACTTTGAGTCGGCATTGGGGAACTTCCCTACTTGTGAACTGTCCAACGCCAGTACTTTAAAACCTTCCAGGATTCCCCCTCCCCACCTCCTTATATCGTACCCTACCAGCTCACCATTGTCTGTCTGGCTTCACTTTGCCTATCCAGTCCAGATTCTAGGGTTGATCACTTTAATCATCTACATTTTTTAATGCCCACCCTTACCCTTTACTATTACTGTCCTGGATTAGATCAGCCATCTCTCTTTTCGACTGTCTCATCCTAAACTCAACCACTGCCAGTGAGTTGATTCCGAATCATGGCAACCCTACTGAGGAGAACTGCCCCTGTGGGTTTCTGGGAGTTTAAATCTCTGCAAGAGCAGAAAGCCTCATCTCTCTCCCGCACATGGAGCCGCTGGTGGGTCCAAACTGCTGAATTTGCAATTAGCAGCCCAACCTGAAACTCACTACACTGCCAGGGTTTTTCCATCCTAAAACAAGATGAAGGAAAGCACTGTCCTGCAAACACAAGTTTGTAGGGGGACCCCATTTTAGATGAGTCCATCCCTTGAGGCCTATGCATGGGAAATGTATTTTCCACATCTACCCTCCAGATCTACAGACCCCAAATCCTACTTACTTTGCATGGCCCCTAGGGTGTCTAGTGCCCTGGCTACATTCTAATGAATGGTGAGTAGATTTCTGATCCAGGATGTGCCAAACAGATGTTCTCTTCTGGGAATCTGGGATTAAGATTGGGAAATGGTAGTTCTGACTGGTCTGCTTTCTTGAGAGATGGAAACCCACGATGCAGCCACTTCCCCTACCTACTCTGAGAAATGGAGAAAGACTATTGCAGAGAGGAGATGTAGCATGGGGATGCAGAAGCCAGAGAGAGTGGCCTTTTCTGCCAGTGGCCAGCAATCCACAACAGCCACAGGTCAGAAAATCATTATAAAGGTCAAATTCTCTTCCCCAAGCTAATGGGAGTGAGGACAAATGTATGGAGATGGGAAACCCAGCAGGAGATACCGGGTTTTCTCAAGAAACAAGGAATCCCAATTCTCCAAGCCACTCCAGAATGCTTTGTTTCACTCCCCTTAGAAAATACTCATTTGTCTTGGAATTCAGACAGTGTTGGGAATCTTGGCTGTGAATCCTAAGGGAGATACTATGATGTACTAGTCACACACGTCATGTATTTTCCTGGGCTCACTAGATCATCTCCTTCTTTCTCGCACTCTTGGTTGGTACCTTATCAACCACAAGGAGCCCCTGTACTTCCCCACTATGGTACAAATGCCACCCAACAGGTTAGAGTCTCTGACTTCCCAAGCACCTACGGGTAGATAATGCAATTTGGAAGTTCAGGAAAGTTAGCTTTCTGTGGGGGTGAAATAGAACGTGAGAGGGGAATGAGTAGATGAATTCTCTTTTGCTCTCCACTTGGTGAACTTTTCCATGGTGTGACGTCCCCCGGCAAACACCAAGTGATCAGGAAACAAGTCTGTCAAGTGCCCTGGTCTTTCCCCATGGCTCACTGGGAAGCATTGGACAGCACAGTAATGCACGACCTTGCATCTTTCTGTGGCTCAGGTTTCATCTTTTCTTCTCATCATCTCCCCAGTGTTGTGACAGCACATTAACCCCTGCTCCGGAGTTGGCTGTTTAGAGGAATCGGACTGTGCCCTCATCCCAACATTAGCTCCCAAGAGTGGGATAGGTGGAACATGCTGAGGTAGAACTGATGAATCCTAATCCAAACTCAGGAACTCCAGGCCGCACTGCTGTCTTCTTCTTGGTGGCCTGGTGCCAACATCACTGTGTGAGCCACTGCTGACCTACTCTTGGGGGAAGCTGAAGCTCATTTCTCAGACACTGTCTTGGTCCCCTGTACTTCCTCTGGAGCACCTGAGTCTTCTCTTGGGAAAAGTCAGACCTGTGCCCTCAGCCCACGTCTGCCTTCTGGGTCTTTGTGTTCTGACACAGCTACAGGGCAAGAGGCTAGACGGGTGATATTCAAAGTACATTCTGTTAATGACCAGTTGAAGGTTCTGGTCAGTTCAGAACTGTTAGAGAGCGGGGAAGGCGATGGTCACAATATTTGACCATCACGATATTTTGCCCTGAGTTAGTGTTTGACACAGACTTGTTTACCTCTCGGCAGATCACACAGGCCATCGGCTAGAATGGCAGCTGCCTGGGCGCTGAGCCCCAGAGGCAGCCTCGGAGTTCGTTTGGTTGGCTGTGTCACCAGGGAGGCAGTTGCAGTCAGTACAGGGGATGGCCAAAACTTACAACCAAAGCTGGAATGGACCCAGTGAGGTCCTGTGACCCCTGTAACCTCAGTGTCTTCTCTTGGAGATAAGGCCAGCATGCTCTGCTCCACTGAGGCAGGCACAAACCTCCAGGTTTGGTCATGGCCCACGGTACAGCCAGAGCTGCTTCTAAAGTAAGGGGCCATTAGTCCCACCTCAAACCAAAGGTCTTTCTCCCTTTAAATTCAAGGTCTATTCCGTTGGACAGGGCAAGATATGACAAAATAACAATTTATAAACTATCAAGGGCTCATGAGGGAGGGGGGAGCGGGGAGGGAGGGGAAAAATGAGGACCTAATGCCGGGGTTTTAAGTGGAGAGGAAATGTTTTGAGAATGATGAGGGCAATGAATGTACAAATGCACTTTCCACAATTGATGTATGTATCGATTGTGATAAGACTTGTATGAGCCCCTAATAAAATGATTTTTTTAAAAATTCAAGGTCTATTCATCCACTGTGATCTGCATGTATGTGTGTGTATATATATATATAAATTGTATATGTATATATGGAAATTATATATATATATATTTATAAACTCCAGGGGCCCTACTAAAAGCTAAAGGCTCTGCCCATCATCCCCAGGTTACACAGGCTCTCAGAAGGCCCTCAAGTTCAATGTCCACTGGCTGACAGACCGCCCCCAGGAGTCCTTTGTTGATGTGACTTCCATGCAATAATGGGTTGTGGGGAGGGGGTAGTAGGGAGGGAGGGGAAAATGAGGAGCTGATTCCAAGGGCTCAAGTAGAAAGCAAATGTTTTGAGAATGATGATGGCAACAAATGTACAAATATGCTTGACACAATGGATGTATGTATGGATTGTGATAAGAGTTGTATGAGCCCCAAATAAAATGATTAAAATAAAAAAATAATGGGTTGGGGTGGGGAGGAGAGGCCATGCCGCAGCTCCCTGTCCAGAATGAGAGTTTGCATGGTTGCCTCACTTGGGTCTGAGGTAACTCCTAGGGGCTGAGGCCTAGGATCCAGTACTGTTTAGGAATTTTGACAATCTGGTCATGACCAAAGGCAGCAGCGGACAAGTCAGTCTAGTGTCAGAAAGGTGATCTCTCTCTAAGGGCAATGGACAAATTAAAGTTGACTCACTACCACCTGTAGGCCGTGATGGGAGCTGTGAAGCTGAGGACTAGGGGAATGGGCAGAGTGTGGTCTGTTGTTAAGAGACAGAAACCACAACGGCCAGATCCAGACTCAAGGACTAGAACTCAGTACCATTTCTGGACACTGGCTCACTCACAGAGGGCCCGGGAGCCAAATTAATCAGTGTGGGAGGAATTCATTGCCAGAGAATCCTCACACCTGGCAAACAGGGACGTGGGAATGTGTAATGTCTAAACTCATCTGTAGGCTCCAAAAACACATCCAAAGTGCAATGAAATGCTTCCGTTTCAAAAGGGGCATCCTGTAAGGCAGCGGTTCTCAACCTGTGGGTCGCAACCCCTTTGGGGGTCAAAGGACCCTTTCACCGGGGTTGCCCGATTCATAACAGTAGCAAAATTACAGATGTGAAATAGCAATGAAAATAATTTTATGGTTGGGGGGTCACCACAGCATGAGGAACTGTATTAATGGGTCACAGCCTTAGGAAGGTTGAGAACCACTGCTCTAAGAGATGTTTATAAAGGACAATAAATGAAGGAGCTATTTCCTAGTGGACAGTGCCAAGCGCAATCAAATTTGTTGACCAAGGAATTGGTTCTACTGTCCAGAAAGCTATATGCTATAGATAAGCGACTCCCCTTTTTTTCTCTTCCCCTTTCCAAGTGGGAGTTATTGATCGTTATCATATTTTCCCTCCACTAGTTCATGTGGGTGATGCAGGGGTAGCTAAGCTTACTTTTAGCTCTGGATTGCAAGATCATAAGCAATAGCCGGAATTGATCAAGAAGATGCACATCACCCAGGAACCTTGGACTGGGATCTCAATACAACAGCAATATGATTCTGCTTTGTGTCTGGGAAGTGAGGATGCTTTTGGTTTGGCCTAGGATCATAGCACTGTCAGGCAGGCACAGATTAAAAATTACAGTGTGCAAGAAGAATGTGGGTGAATGCCAGGAAATAAAGGGGTGGCATGTCATGGGCATGTATTGTTTATCTTCTCATTATCCCTTCCTTTGGTGATCCAGTTCCTCCCTCCACACCCCAATGCTGTTCTAGTAAAGTTGTCAATATAGTGGCCTATTCTTCTACTCTAGGTGTGAGCACATGTCCATCAATGCTGGGCCATCAAAGTCCACTCTGGGGCTTTACAGCTAGAACTAGTAAAACCCGGATGCAGAAGGAAGCAGAGGCAAGAAGTGAAGACATCATCCTTTGAACTGCCAGATTCAGCAATGCTCGAAGGCAGATACAGCCCTTGATTTGTCAGTTATGTAAGCCACCTCATTTCCAATTGGCTTAAGCACAGTTGATTTGGTTTTTTAACACTTGTAACTGAAAAAGCCCAGACTAATACATGCACACACAGACACAACACAGTTTGCTCAAAATCATTAGACCTTCTATAAATCTTTCTTGATTCTTACCAGTGGTCCACAAACTTTTTCTCTTAAGGATCAGGTTGTAAATATTTTAATCTTTGTAAGCCACATATGGTCTCTGTCTTGTACTTTGTTTTACTTTTTATAACCATTTAAAAATGTAAAAAACATTTTTAGTGTGCAGGCCACACAAAATTTTGGCCCTTGAACCATGGTTTGCTGACCGCCAATCTAGACCCTGCCAACCTCTGTAGTTTTGGTGTCAGTCTCTAGCTGTGAAGCAAAATAATCCTTTTAGTTTAAATGTTTTGACATAATTTAGTTGTGAATTAAGAGTCAGACTAGAGTTAGAAATGGAAAGAGGGTCATGTCATGTGTCCATTACCTGCCAAATCAATAGGCACTAAATAAATAGTAATCATGATTCTTTCTTGGTAAAGATAAAATACTTGATAAAATAACTACTCATAATGATAAGCCATCCAAACAGTTTCGTCTACATGACCTAGTTCATCCAGGAAGATTCTTTTTTTCCTCAGTCTCCTTTGAGAAACCCTACTTGAACCTTTCCCAACCAAGTCTGTTAGGAACTCATTTTTAACTACGTTATTTCTTTTTCTCCCTAACTCTGAGCACTTGGATCATGCTGGTGACCCTGCACCCCGCATAATATGCCTACCACCTAGTCCTAGACAGAAATGTATGTCTCCGTGCGTACTTAATGGGGCTAAGAAAGTTCATGGAAAAATGGAACCCCAGGATCATGGAAGTTCTCCATGAACTTTTTGAAGCCCCTTCAAATATCTGTTTGCATGTGTGCGTGGTTTGTATCCCTGTGTCCATCCAGGGTGGTCAGCCAATGGGTTTCTGTTTAAAATTATTTGTGTTATCACCATATCTACTTTTCATTCTCATCCCCTCAAAACAGAAAGAGTCAAAGACAGAGGAACAGGTGGGAGTAAGTTTTCTTAGAAACTGTTATGTAGGGGGAACCCTCCAACCTGCCCCCAGAGCCTTCTCTGCTATTTGATATCAGATCTGAGGTTTTCGGCCTCACAGCAGCATCTGGGGACTGGCGTGGCCACCACCCAACTGGGGCCCCAGACCAGGGTGGTTCATCTCTAGTGGGTGGAGAAGGTATCCTCCTGGGAAAAGCATGTGCAAGGTCCCAAAAGCCCAAGAAAGGCTGACCGAGGCAAGGTGAATGATGGCGTTCTAAGCTGACTCTTTGCACATCTCACAGAAGCAGGCAGGAAGCACCACCACTGATCAGCTTTATATGGTACCCACTGTACACAACAGACAGACACAGAGAGACAGACAGGGCACACACCACTGCTAAGCTGAACACTGCTCACCATCTAGAAGCACCTGGATAAGCACATGGGAGACACTCTTGCATAGGAAAGATGTACTTTTTAAAGGAATGAAGAAGTATTTTGGCAAAACATCTACTTCCCTCCCAGGTCCTGGGTAAAGAGGGACCTCTAATTCTGAAGCTTCTACACATTGAAAAGTATCCCCTTCTCAAGGCCAGTATATACAATAGCAAACCTTCCAAGTCTGTTGTCACAGCCCTCTACATTGGTCCTGACTCTCCTTCACAGGTGGCCAAACTTAGAGACAGAAGGTGGCTTAGAGCAAGTGGACACACGGGGCTGGCTCAAGGTGAGGGGAAACAGGAGGTGTCTCGGCTCAGCCAAAGGCAGGGTCTCTGTCTATCTGAACTGGGAAGCGGGGAGACTGGGGTAGCCCGAACGCCCTCGGTCTTTCTGCCAGGGGAAGCAGTGATTCCACATTGGGAAAGACTATCAAAAGTGAAAGGCAGATTCCCATCTCTGCTAGCTAAGGGGGCCTCTCAGGGTGATAGTGGGCCGGCTTGACCAGAGCGTCCCCTCCGCGCCCCCACCCACCTCCCCACTCCTGGCCTCCTTAGTGAAACTGAGTTTGGGAATTGTGGGTTGTGGGTTCACTGCTTCCTTGTCACTCTCATGACCTGCATATGCATCTAGATCTCAAATCCTTCTTTTTTTTTTTCCCTCGCAGGGCAGGTGGGGAGGGATTTTCAGAGGGAATGAGACACAGAATTATCTTTCCACAGCCTCCCACAGCCTGGGCTGGGGCTTCCAAAGGTCACCGTCACCCTGTCTCCTAGGGGTATTTAAAGGCAGCTTTTATGAGACTCTACACTGTCGCTTGTGTTTCTCTCTCTTTTCTCTTAATTTTTATATAGCTATATATATATATTTATATTTAAAAAATCAATAGTCCTTTGGTCCCTAAACACTAAGGAATGATATGATTTTGAAAGAAGGACATCGCGGCTTCTTGTGTGGAGAAGCCACACGTGGCACCCCCAAGGCCCACTGCTGGTTCCAGGGAACCTTCGATCATCAGGCAGCCCCAGTTGCCCTGCCAGCTGGAGCTCTCTGCCCCAGGCACGGAACAACCCACTGGTGGGAAACAATCCTTAAAGGGGCCTGAGCCCCAGGCCCCAGCCTTGGGTCGGACCCAACACCATCCGTCGGCAGCTGTTGCTTCAGGAAGGGCCGCTCAAGTGTTTCTGTGCTTTCTGTTCCTTGCTTCTTGCTCTTAATTGTCTGTGGTCCAGCGTTAATTGAGGAGAGAAGAGGGAGGGGGCAGAAAAGGCAAACATTACCTGGAGAACAAAACCGGGGCAGCTTGTCTACTCAGCGACATGTCAAGAGAGGGCCCGGGGCCTCTCTTCTGGAGGAACAGAACCGCAGCAAACGCCAGGTTCCGGGCAGATGACCCCAGCCTGCGGATAACCCCCACCCACCCTGCTGCAAAGGCCCCACTGAGGTAAGTCAAATGGAGGCAGGGCTGTGTGGGCCTTCTGGGGTAGCTGAGGCAGCATTCTATGGCCCCAGACACTCACCACCCACCTCACTGTGACACCGCCATCATAGTGAGAAATCCTGGGGCTTTCCGAGACTGCAGCTCTTTACAGTCATAGAAAAGTCTCGTCTTTCTCCTGTCCGGCTCTGCAAATCCTGCTTCTTAAGCATTACCTCGCCGCTTTCCCCACATCTCCATGTTCAGTATCCTTGTCCCCATACTTACCTCATTTCCCTTCTTTCCTTACACTCCTCAATGGCTCCTTAATATCTTCAGGATAAAGTCTAAACTCTTTGGCCATTAAGACCATCTTGTCCAAGCTGGCCCAAACTTACTTTTTTAGCCTCATTCTCTAACCCTGTGGCCCGCACGTGCCCACCCACCCACCCCACCACCCAGGTTCTCTATACTCATGGCCCCCCGTGGCTATCTCTAGCACAAAGCTGGTTGGATCTTACAGATCATGGGGCAGAGGGGCGTGGTAGGCAGAGATGTTGGCTAATTGAAGGAAAGGCACAGAGACTCCTGAGAATTTCTTCCAGCTCCGGGCTCATCTATCTACCTGGCAATTTTTCAGAGGTGTCCTCAACTACCCCCCAAAATACCAAAGCTGGGAGGGCCTCATTGTCCAGGTCCCATGTGCCTGGGGTCTGTCAGGCTCACCTTTCTGTGGCTGGTCTGTGAGGGCAGATCAGTAAGGCCGGTTGGCATCCTTGGGCCTCTTTAGCTGGACCTTGAGTCTCTTCATGCCAATCTGAAAGCCGTTCATGGCCTGAATAGCAGTCTGGGCACTGGTTGGATTGTCAAAACTAACAAACCCTGTGGGTTGTAGGCAGAGAGGTTGGCTGGAGACTGACTGCCTGGCAGGACCTCCTTTCTGACCTGCTCTCTCTGGGCCCCTTCAGGTCCTTCCCATCAAACACATTCCCCTCCATTGTTTGCACCCCATCAAACACATACCCCTCCATTGTTTGCACACACACACACACACACACACACACACACTGGTTGGCTAAGTATCTTGCTGAGGGTCTTTCTCTGGCATGAGTTGACTCTTGATCTCTACAACCTTCATTCTGATCAAAAAGCTTCCCTGGAGTTGGAGAGGCTCTCCAGCCCTAGAACCAGGACCCTCCTGCCCTTTGTCTGACCTGGCCAAGCATCCCCCAGACCAGGGGTCCTCAAACTACAGCCTGCGGGCCACATGTGGCCCGCCGAGGACATTTGTCCGGCCCGCCGGGTGTTTTCTTCCCCGCTGCCTGTCCTGCTTAGCAGCTGACTCGTCCAGTGTGCATAGGAATTTGTTCATAGTTTTCATTTAAACTATAGTCCGGCCCTCCAACGGTCTGAGGGACAGTGAACTGACCCTCTGTTTAAAAAGTTTCCCAGGCAGCTCTGAAACAGCTTTGTTCTGGCCTACGTTTGAGTCAAACATTCCGTTTTGAGAAATCATAGCTCCCTGGTGCAGAGAGCGGAGGGTCTGCAGAAGATCCCAGAGTTATCAAGAGAGGGTCCTCAGGATGGAACCCAGCTCACCAAAACATTTGCTCTGGTTGGTGGCTCGATCCACAAAGACTTTGGCAGAGACCACGGCTCCAAAGGGCAGGAAGGTCTGGATGAGTTCCGCATCACCAAACTCCTGAGGCAGGTGATAGATGAAGAGGTTACAGCCTTCGGGGCCTGCAGGAACAGTAGCAGGCTGGTTCAGGGGAGGAACCCTGAGTCCAGCCCCACCAGGCGCTGATCTCCAGCCCCCTGTCCCTCACCTTCTCTCTGCTGCTGGGGCAGGGCTGAAGGCTGCGAGGGGAAAGCTGTGCTCACGGGGGCATAAGCCGACGGGTAGGCTGCTGGAGACAGAGGTGGGAGTGGGCAGTGACCCCGGGGAGCCAGCTCCCCTTCAGGGCTCCATCTGCCTGGCAGCCTTTGACCAATTCAACCCGGCCCACTGTAATCCTTACCCACAGAGAAGACGTTCTGGGCCCAGGGGGAGGGGATGGGGGGGTTGACTCCTTCCTCAGAATAGAGCCTAACCCCCCTATAAATCTCCCTATTCCTTTCTAGGGCCCTTCAACCACCCCAGACCGTGTAGCGTCAAGTGAAACCTGCGTAGTGGTGCGTCCCAGCATAGGCCTGCTGCAGGGGCTCAGCCACGGGGCTCTGGGCTGGGGAGAGAGGGGCCCTCGGTGAAGGCAGGAGGTAGAGGGAGGTGGGGAGAGGCAGTACGGGGTGGGGGAATACCTTCCCCAGGGTCCTGCCCCCACCCCCCACCCCCGCTCCCCACCCCA